TCTCTCTCTGTCTTTTGGTTAGTTTGGATAAGGGCTTGTCTATCTTGTTGATTTTCTCAAAGAACCAACTCTTTGTTTCATTAATTTTTTGTATTATTCTCTTAGGTTCTAATTTATTAATTTCACCTCTCACTTTGATAATTTCCTGGCATCTATTCTTCCTGGGAGACTTTGCTTCTTCTTGTTTTATATTTTTCAGTTTTTTTGAGACAGAATTTCTCTGTGTAACCCTGGCTGTCCTGGAACTCGTGCTCCAGACCAGGCTGGCCTTGAACTCAGAGATCTGCCTGCCTCTTCCTCCCCAGTGCTAGGATTAAAGGTGTGCGCCATCACCGCCTGGCTTCTAAAAGGATTAATAGGTTGGCTAAGTTGCCTCAATCAACCCATAGTGAGATAGTTTGTTTTAGTGATATAGTAAAATGAAGAGAAGGTTTAATTATTGCCAAAAAAGCAAAGTTTAATTGTCCAAAGGAGTTTTAAGACATTGTCTCATTGTGTAGCCCTGGCTGGCCTGGAACTCACTATGTAGATCAAGCTGTCTTCAGACTCATCTTACCTTCAGAGTGTTGGTATTTAAAAGTTTGTATCACCACTCCTTGTAGTTTTTTTTTTTTTAATTCTTTTTGCTCTTTGGGGGGCCTGCCACCCAGCTCCCAAATAAATACAGAGACTTACTCTTTCTTATGAGTGCCCAGCCTTAGCTTGGCTTGTTTCTAGCCAGCTTTTCTTAACTTAAATTATCCATCCCATCTACCTTTTGCCTCTGGGCTTTTTTGTTTGTTTGTTTGTTTGGTTGGTTGGTTGGTTGGTTGGTTGGTTTTTCGAGACAGGGTTTCTCTGTGTAGCTTTGGTACCTTTCCTGGAACTCACTCTGTAGCCCAGGCTGACCTTGAACTCAGAGATCCACCTACCTCTGTCTCCTGTGTGCTGGGATTAAAGGCGAGTGCCACCACCACCCTGCGCCTCTGGGCTTTAATCTTTCTCTATTCTTCGTACTTTTCTTTCCTTCTTACTTGTTGGCTTGCTGGGTGGCTCCTTTAACAATGTTTCTCTTGTCTTTGTCCCTGAGCCACATGGAAGGAAGTTAGCCCGAGTCTCAAGGACTTGAGTTGTGCAATGATGGCAGAATTGAACTAGGTTGCCACTCACTTCTGTGACCTAGGCCGAGCTATTTAAACTGTTGACGAATCTGTTTTCTCATGTAACATTACATTGTAAAGGAACCTTGTGATGTTTCAGTGAATTGCTGTGCGTGCAGCATTTGGGCATGTAGCGTCATCACCAGTGTTCTGTGCCTTGAGGCTTTTGCCTTATGTTCATGTTTCTCCAGTTAAATTGAAAAGTTTCTAGCTACCTTGTAAAGACACTATTTTGGCCATGTGTGGTGTCATGTATCTGTAATCCCAGTCCTTGGGAGGCCGAGGCAGGAGGACCATCAGTTTAAGGTAAGCCAGGACTCTGTAGCAAGACCTTGTCTCAAAACTAAATAGGGGCTAAAGAGATGGCTCAGCTGTTGAGAGCACTTGCTGGTCTTCAGAGGATCCATATTCAGTTTCTAGCACCCATGTTTGGTGGCTTAAAAAAAACACCTGTAACACCAGCTCCAACCTTCTTCTGGTCCCCATGGTCACTCACACACATTTGCATATTTATTCACACAGATACTTACATGCACATGTACTCACACCAATAAAAATAAATAAAAATAAAACCAAAATCTTAATAAATAATGATGGTGACTATTTGCAGAGCATGTGTATATAAGCATTTGTATACCTATGAAATATTTCTTTCTCTTGTCCAAGGTACTGTAGTAATTACAGCACTCATGTGTGCTGTAGTTAAGTGTCCGTCCACATCCTGCATAAGATCCTAGATTCTTTTAGAGCAAGGGAGGTGTTACACTTTCCTTAGCTCCTACTACAAGGTTTGGTACATGGTGTTTAACAGAACAATTGTTAATTGACTTGTATCTGGAAATCTGTAGATCATGTGATTTTAATCAAAGCATGGTGCTATTTTAGGACTTAATGTATGCCTAGCAGTGTATTTGGAATTTTAGGAAGTAATTATTTGGCATTTAAGTGCTGAAGATTAGACTGTTGTTACTACAAGCTAATTGAGAGGTGATTCCAAGTGCCAGACTGTAACCCCTTAAATAATCTGTGTCTTTATTTCAGCAACCTTTAAAGCCGAGTGTGTAAGTGAATGTTCTCATTGCTTCCCTCCCTCATTAGTCATCAAGGTCCTGCTCATCTTTCATGCTGACTTCCGCTCAGGGTTTGAAAGCTGATTGCTTAAATATATTTAACTTCTACCTCATGGTTATATCTGATGGCTAAATCATGATGGCTGGCAGTGAGAACTTACATATCACACGCAGAGCCCCTGAGTATGCTCTCTGGTTCAGTTCTTACGCAGCCCCACAATTCAGAGAACGCTTCAAGAAAACTAAAGCTTACAGGGGAGGTCATTTGCTTCCTCAGAGGTAGGAAATGCTGCATCCAGGATTTGAACAAGCATTAGGTATTTCATAATGCATTTCATAAGTAAAAAACTGATAGAATTAAAGTGAAACATCTGCAACCTGAGTCTTATTGAAACTTCATTGGTGGTCTAACTTCATTTGGGGTGATGGAGCATCTCATTCTTGTCTCTGGTTGCTGAGAGATCATAATTTTATTGCTTTAAGTAAATTCTGAGCAAATTACATAAAATCAGTATGAGTGATGCAAAGGATAGTGCTTTCTAAACTTACCTGAGGTTTTTAATTCCTTGCTGTTTATTTTAGTGAATATATTTTAATCTTAAGAAGATTGTCTCAATGTAAGAAACGAGTAAAAAAAAGGGAGCAATAGGAGGCTTCTTGTTTCAGAATTCATGTTGTTTCCATGGATACCTTATCTAATCAAGAAACAACAATTCACTTTGAAAACATCTGTGTGAAATTTTAGGTGTGTTTGTTGCTGTATATTTATCTTCTTTAAGTAACAAATATTTGTTAAAATTTGTATGTGTGTAGTTTTTTGAGACAGGATCTGGGGTGGCCTAGACTATCCTCAAACTTGGCTGTGTAGTCAAGGCTGGTCTTGAATTTTTGAACTTGATCCTTCTGCCTCTACTTCCCAAGAGCTGTAATTATAGGCATGTGTCAACCATGTCCAGGTTTTTTTTTTTTTAACTTTATTTTATGTGCACTGGTGTGAAGGTGTTGGATCCCCTAGAACTGGAATTATAGACAGTTGTGAGCTGCCATGTGGGTGCTGGGAATTGAACCCTGGTCCTCTGGAAGAACAGACAGTATTCTTAACCGCTGAGCCATCTCTCTAGCCCCACTCAGATTAATCTTTAAACTCACCTTTACATTTAATTCAAATGTGGATCTACTCAATGTCCAATATTTCAAGATTTGAATAACTTGTACAGTTTTACTAGACATAGATTTGGAAATTAAGTAGGTTATATGTTTCTTGGTTCTTATCATCTTTGGCCAAATCCTAAGGTAGCACAGCTTACAACCACATTTTTCTTTAACATTAACATCATATAGCGATTGCTTCTGCTTGGGTGTGATGGCACACATCTATGATCAGTGCTCAGGAGGCAGAGGCAGGGGTTATCTCTGTGAGTTCACGGCCAGCCTGGTCTACATAACAAGTTCAAGGCTAGCCAGAGCTACATAGTGAGACCCTGTCTCAAAATCAACAACAAAAACCAACCAAACGAAAAAAAACTTGTTTCTGTTACGTTTAGAGAAAAATGTTTTAAAATATGTTAATAAGCCTTTTAATTTTATGTGTTCTCTCTCTCTTCCTCCCTCTCTCCCTCCCTCTAGGCAAATCATCAAACTGGGAAGATGATAGTTGGGGAGCATGGGAAGAGACAGAACCCCAAGAACCTGTAAGTCTTTATAGTTGCATGGTCTTGTTTTGATTGTGTGTGTGGAAGGGGTCTGTGTGGTGGTCAGAGGTCAACTGTGGGGCCACTTCCCTCCTTTCCCCTCTAATGGGTTCCAGGAATTGAACTCAGGTCCCCAGGCTTACAGGATAAGTGCCTTTACCCACTGAGCTGGTGCCCACCATGGTTTTTGATAGTGACATCTTTTGTAATAATAATGGCATATTTCAGTAGTAGGTTGACATTTTGAAGAAATCTTTGTCACAAACAGTTGTATGTTTAGTTTGTAGTAACTAACTAGATACCTGCTTTTTTTGTTGTTGTTGTTGTTTTGTTTTGTTTTATTTTTTGAGACAGGGTTTCTCTGTGTAGCTTTGCGCCTTTCCTGGAACTCACTTGGTAGCCCAGGCTGATACCTGCTTTTAAGGAACTTAATGACTACACTAATTGGGCACTGTAGTCTATGCTACAACAAAGGACCTGAGACTTTGTAATTCACGATGAAAGTATCATTGGCTGGGGTCCTGGGGGAGGCAGTTCAAATCTAAGATGAAGGTCTTAGCATCTAGCAGTGCCCTTTTTGCTGCCTCATAGCATGGCAAAAGATGAAGGAGAGACAAAAGAAAAGGGAGTGTGTGTGTGTGTGTGTGTGTGTGTGTGTGTGTGTGTGTGTGTGTGTGTAGAATCCAAACTTCCCCACCCCTCAGAACAGACCCACTCCTGCTATAACAAACCAATCCCATGATGGCAGCATTAATTAGCTCACTCTGCCTTTATGACTTCACTTCTTATTGGTTCTCAACTCCTCCTTTTACATGAGGTTAAGTGTCTGACATGGCGCTGGGGACTCGGTAGAACCATAGTGGTGGGCTAGATAGGGAACAGTTCATTGCTGTGGGATGTTCTGTATGGCAAATGTGTTGCTCTGATTGGTTAGTAAATAAAACACTGATTGGCCAGTAGCCAGGCAGGAGGAAGTATAGGCGGAACAAGGAGAGAGGAGAATTCTGGGAAGTGGAAGGCTGGGTCAGAGACACTGCCAGCCGCCGCCAGGACAAGCAGCATGTGAAGATGCCGGTAAACCACGAGCCACATGGCAAGGTATAGATTTATGGAAATGGATTAATTTAAGCTATAAGAACAGTTAGCAAGAAGCCTGTCACGGCCATACAGTTTGTAAGCAATATAAGTCTCTGTGTTTACTTGGTTGGGTCTGAACAGCTGTGGGACTGGCGAGTGACAAAGATTTGTCCTGACTGTGGGCAAGGCAGGAAAACTCTAGCTACAGTTCATTGCTTTGGGAGTCTTTCCTCTTCCTAAGTTATTCTAGATGCTTTCTAAATATTCTAGAATATTTGTTGTGCCTGTCATATTCTAGGTGCTGAGACTATATCAATGACCAAAGTAGACAAGTCCCTGTGCATCTTACCATGTTTCACCTGTGAGCCTTCATCACTTCACATGGAGGGCCATCTAGAGTTAGGGTAGCTCCTAGGTCATTTGACCCAGTCACTGAGCTCTCTATGTCATCAGTCTCTTCACGTCTGGCTGGCTGGCTTGTTTCTGTCACAGGCAATGGGGTGGCATTATTTGTGACCAGAGGGAGGAAAAGACTTGGACTGTCACCTGCTGTTCTGGGGAAACAGCTTTTCTTAAAAGCGACTAACAGCTTTGCCACATCATTTCTTAGCTAGAACTGGGCCGTATGACACCTAGAAATATCTTGTTTCTGTAATCCCTGACTTTTATGTGTGTGGAGAGACTTCTCTTCCAGTCTGTGGTTTGGGTAATTTCTCATTTTATACCATGATTTTGGTATTTTTATTTTTCTCTCCTTTTCCCTTGGTTATTCTACTTAAATTTTTTTTTTTTTTTAGCTTTTGTTCTAGTAGTTAGTTTCCAAACTTGAGTTTCAGTAACCAGTGTTTTTTTTCTGTTTTATTGTCTTTAGTTATATCTTTAATTCTCTTTACTTTGAGTTTGTTTTCTAGCTTCTTAAAATGTCATTATAGATTACTTATTTTAAATCTATTTTCTCTTGTAATATAAACCTACATATTTACCTGTGCACTCAGGTTTTTATGTATATTTTCAATTTCATTTAGTTTAAGATGTTTTCTAATTTCTTTTGGTTTCCTTTTTGATTTGTTAGAAGTGTGTTACTTAATTTGTAAATGTAATAGTCTCCCCTTGAGGAGGGAGACTTTGCCTAAGACCTCCTAGGGGCCTGAAACATTGAGGACAGCTGTGAACCCTACATGTACTATTTATCCAATATGTCCATACTTTTAAAAAAGTTTAATTCATAAGTTAGATGCAGTACGATATTAAGAATAATAACCAATAATGAAGTGGGAACATTTTAACAATATGCTGTAATAAAATTGCAAGCATCATTACCTTTACATTTGGGGGCCAGTATTAATTAATTAAAATAAGAGTTACATGAACATATGCTCTATGATGTTCAGACTGTTGCTTTAACAACCAAAATGACTACAAGAGACTAATGGGTGAGTAGCAATGTGCTGGACAAAGGCAGAGTTCACAGCTTCAGGACTCGAGGGCCTGGTGGAGTGGGACATTGTGTGGTTTCATTACGTAAGTCAGAACTCAGAACGGCACACAATTTATAACCTGCGATGGTTCATTCCTGGAGTTTTCCACTTATCCCTTGGACCATGACTGGCTTTGGATAACTCAAGTCACAGAAGTAGAACTGCAGATAAGGAAAACTGTTACTGGGAATTTACCAGATTTCTTTGTTGATTATTTCTGATTTCACCTTGATGTTATCAGAGAGCTTCTGTTACGTGCTTCCAAACAGTGTAACTCTATGGGGCCTACTTTATGGCTTCATACACGGTGTGTTCTATTAGATGTTCATCTCTGTTGACAGGGAAGGGTTCTCTGCATTCAGACAGGTTGGTCTGTTCCTGTCTCTGTGTTCTTCCGGATTTCTCTTCTTTCTGCTAGTGAGAGAAGGGAGTGGAAACGTCCGTGTGTTCTGCTGGACTTGCCTCTTCCCATGAGCGCTGTCAGTGTTGCTTCAGGAACTGAGAGGTCGGTCTTCCTGTGGACTGTGTCTCCATTTATACTTGTCTGCCTCCTGGGCTCTCCTGCTCTGAAGTGCGTCAGTGTCCCCGGTGATGTGTACTGATGTCTGCCCTCTCTACTTACACAGGCATTGCTTTCCCATGGCCTGTCTCCTTCCCCTCTTTTCCATTTTAACCGACTTCTGGTTTTGAAGCTAAATTGTGTTTTTAATAGGTAGTTGGATATTGCTTTTTTAATCAACCTGATACTTTCGGCATTCATTAAATAATTTCTTCACATTTTAAGTGATTCTCATCTGCCATTTGACTATGTGTTTTGTGTATACCTAGTCACTTTTTAGTTCCTTTATTAGTCAGTGTACCCTAAGGGACAGAATCAAAAGAATAACTGTTATTAGAAGGGGACATATTAGACTGGTCTGAGTACTCGGACAGTCACTGTCTTAGGCTGGCACATAACATGGTCTAGTACTCCGACAGTCACTGTCTTAGGTTGGCACATGGCATGGTCTAGTACTCCGATAGTCACTGTCTTAGGTTGGCACATGGCATGGTCTAGTACTCCGACAGTCACTGTCTTAGGTTGGCACATGGCATGGTCTAGTAAGGCCAAGAGTCCATAGCTGCTTAGTTCATGCAGTTGGCTGCCTCTGTGGTGCTGAAGGCCTGGAGAGAGCCTGGAGAGCCACTGCCTCCGGTCCATGTTGAAAGCCTGAAGAAGGTTCTGGTGTCAGTGAAGGCTTTCAGTAGCAGGGCACATAAGCTTGCCAGCAGGAGCAGAGGCAAGGAGCAAAATCACAACATTTTCTAAGACCCCTTTGTGTGGGTTGCCATTGAAAGGTGCTGCCCACATTAAAGATGGCCCTTCCTACTTCCGGTGACGAAATGGAAACAAATCTTCCACTCAGTGCTGGGTGGCCAGCTGTGAGGTGCTTCCCAGTTCTAGTCAGGGATAACCAGGATTGGCCATCACAGTGTCTTCTAACTCTTTGCTTCATTCTTTTGTGTTAAATAAATGTTTAGTGCACCATTTTAATCACTCAGATTTTTATCGGTATTGTGATGTTAATTGTATATGATATTGATATGATTCATATACCATGTAATTCACCCTTGCAGTATATAACTCAGTTTTCTTAATATTCTCAAGTTCTGTAACTGTTATCATGATCTAAGTTCATAATATTTTAATTACCCTAGCAGAAACCCCACAGTGCATTACCTATCTTACAGTAATAACTGATTTACTTTCTGTGTATGGATTTACCCGTTCTAAGCATTTCATGTGCAATTAGAACAAGACTGACTGGCTTCTACTTACTTATAGTTCAAACCACTTCATGGTTTTTACCTACATTTGTTTGTGGTCTGGAAGTCTTTTTCCTTTTTATTGTTTCACACTCACAGCTAGACCAGGACTGCCAGAAATGTCACTCGGTGGAGGTAAGACTGTTATTTGCACTACTTTCAGTGATTATAAACAACTCTAAGGTTTATATCCAGAGGCACAAGAAACAGCAGAGCAAGAGGCTCGGCAGATATGTGAGATACAGGAGTCCAAGGCCTGATCAAGGTAACAGACACCATCACGCACAGGAAGTGAGTGGACAGGAATGCTCCTGCTAGGAACCGACCTCCAACTTCCCCGAGAATGTAACTGGGTTTTGCCCACATTAAAGATGGCGCCAACAGTGGGAGTAGGGTGTCTTGCTGTCCACTTACTGTTAAGTTGTGTGGAGGCACTGTACTGTAAACACTGAAGGTATTCTCAGTCAGCTGCCACTGGGCGGAGGCTGTGGGGAGTGGTGGAGGAGAGTGAGTTTTGGCTGTCACTGACCCATCATTGGAGAGCTGGTCCCTGGTGCGGCAGCGGCATGAAGAGCATTGAGAGAGCAAACTTTCCAAGAGTGAGTGAAGCCGCTACCAGAGCTGAGTGCTGCTGCCCTG